CTGCCCACACGCCAGAATGGAGGCGAGTCCTGTCTCCAGCCTGGCACTGGGATCCAAAATGCACAGAAAACTTTTTCCCTTTTCAGTGTTCTAAGTCCTGTAGAAAAGGAATGACCTCATATGCTATGCAATGCTCTGTTCTTACTGTCCCTACGCCACTCAGCACCCACAAACATGGGCAGAATGGAGAAATGCAAAAGGCCAAACGCACATAGGCACTAAAGATCCTCGTGCAATCTGCTGTGTTGGCTAAGTCAAATCTTATCTCACAGTAGCTATCTCTGAGGAATAGCATGCAATAATCCATGTACACTTTTATATTTAATCTTTAGCTGGGATTTTGTGAGGCTGAAAAAAGACAAAGATGCATTTAGGATCCTACCAAAGGTGCATCTGTTTCTGGATGAAAGCACCCTGACATCAAACTGACTGCAGCTCGGCTGCAAAAAGTTATAAATCACTGCGATCAACACAAGTTTTGCACCAAAGTACAGACACACATGCCATGATTTCCTCTGGGTGCCAGGCAAATCCCGTTATCCTACTTATGAATGGGCCTCATTAAGTAGAAAAAAACCCTGTTGGTGCAACCTGTTCCTTTTAAAATTAAAGATATTAAAGTTGTTAGATACCCCTAACTCTCTGCTCAGCCTTTTATGCATTGCAGTAACACTGCTCCTATTGCTAGGGAAAGCTTTTAGTTTGCATAATCTGCTTTTCATATCCCTGGCAGCTGCAGATCATTCTCGGTGACTAAATTAAGAAGAGTTTCTCCCAAGAACCCATCAGACCTGTCCTCCTTTTTCAACCATGTACCTACAATTTAGGAAGAAAATAAGAAAACAAAACCTTACCAATAAGCATTAAATCTTATCAGATCAGGCTGGAAGGTCACCTCATCCATCCCTCTGCCCTAAGGCAAAAATCACCATTTCTTAAGCCACTCCTGACAGATGCTCATCTAACTCTGAAAACCTGATGATTTCACAGCCCGTTCTTTGGCTTAGCTCATGGCTGCAAGCATGACACAAATGTCCCTTACCACAATCAAGGCTCCTCATTGCTTGTTCTGCCCACACCGGACTTGGGGAAAGACTATTTCTCCTTGAAGTATTCTCTTTTTAAAGCAGCCCTTCACATGCTTGTCACTCCTCTTACCTCTTATGAACATACCCATCTACAACTTTTCTGAAACACAGCCCCATTTCAGAGCCCAGCACTCCTGAACAGACAAGTCAAACTGCTCCTCACCCCATTTCTGCTGTGCTTACTCCTGTTGTGAGTGGAGAATGCAAGAGGTCGAGGTCTTAGCTCCCCAAGAAAGCAATGGATAGGTAGGGAAGAGGCACCAAGAGGACAACTCTTAGGCTGGCATGTGTCAGGTCACTGGTGCCTGCTGGTAGCACAGTGTTGGGCTGACCAGAGCACACTCAGTTCCCAGGTGGATGCCTGGGTGCTCACACAACACATCCAGTCCCAGAACAGCCAGCCCAACAAACCTGGTGGGTGTGGACAATGGTAATTGGGAGGAGAGACACTATAATTAAGAGAAAAATCACAGAGAGTGAGCTATGTGGATGGAAAGGTGGGGGAAACCCCAGGAATTTTAGTAGAGGAAGAGGAAAGAATGTGACATGGTAAACCAAAGCATGCAATGACTGGCTTTCCCCTCACTTGAGCCTTGCTAGAGTTGACCATGACTTCAAAAGAAACTCCAGTTTTATGAAAGGCAGCAAAAACAATGCATGAAATCTGGCCATCAGTCCAGAGGCTTACAGCAGCACCCAGTACTAGCATTTTACATGTCATATGATGCACTAAGCCTCGGAGGTTTTTGGATTTCCGTAACGAAGTTGACAGAATTTGCCAGCACTTAGCCTTGTGCACAGAGACTTCCCAGCTCTCCTACCCAGTGTGGTTGCTCAGACCTGTGTTTTGGTCCATACACTCAGCTATTACTCTGCTCAGCTCTTTGCACAAGGCAACCACCCAGGCCAACATCACAGGTAATAACCAGAGGTTACTGTATGTGCTCAGGTCTATAAAACCCCAAGGTCACCAGGCTAGGCTCACCTTGGAGGGCAGGGTGAGCAGCACAGCACTGCTCTGGACTGGGGAAGCAGACCCCGCTGTGAAGGGATGGTCCTGCTTTAGATCTCATCTGGTGACGGGTCTGCAATGATGTGCTGTTCCAATCACAGCAATTTTGCATGATAACAGCTGCTTTTCCGGATGTAGCGAAGAACAGGCTTGACAAATAGGACGGTAAATGCACCTGAAGGACACTACTCCAGAACTCCCAGCTGTTACACTTTCGCTGTGAGAACTTAAAGGTATCTTGTTAAAGATGTAACACAATGTCAGCATTAACAGTTTCCTCCTGTTTTGCCTTCTAAGTGCCCAGTCCTACGGAGCTTTATTAATACAGGCTGAAACGTCAAGATTTAAAGGCTAACTAAACCCCACTTAAAAATTTTCACAAAGGGGATTAACTGTAATTTACCTCCTGCTTACACCACTGGTTGATTGCTATGGGAGCGGAAACTCTCATGTATGAGCCTCTTGGGTTTGGGCTGTGAAAGGCTGATGGAGCAGAGTCTGCATCCCACCCTGCTGCAGCAGGGGCAGCACTCAGGTAGGCAGCTGCTGAGGACAGCAAACATACTCATGCCAGGTTGTGACTCTGCACGCTTAAGCAAAGACAAAAGCAACCCGTCAAGGCATTGCATTTACTTGCAATTTAGAATAGCTATAAATCACAAGAAATGCTACTGAAACACCTTCCCAAGGGAGAAAACTAAAACTAACACCACATTTCCATACACGGCAAAACAACACATGCAAACAGTAGCAAACCAGACTGCAACACCACACCAAGCAAGCTGAACACAGGAAGAGAGCCCTGGTTACAGGGAGCCAACAGTGCCTTGAATGCCAAATGTTCCAAAAGGCAAACCCAGAGCTTATGAAATTTTGTATAGGACAGCTGAAAATTAAACGTTATACTGTTCTGTATATGGCTTAAGAGGAATAAAATTTGTATGTACTGTCATTAACCTACATATAAGAAAAGATAGATACATATAAAGATCTACTTTTTTAGAGAAAAAACACATATATGAGTATATCAATATTATCCACTTAAAATTAAATTCCTATGCATTTGTTTTCACCCACCTGTAACAAAATGCTGAATGGCAGAAGACAGAATGCAACAAATCAATTTTCTATTTTATAGAAAGGACAAAGTCATTAAATGGGTTCATTTTTGCATTTATTTCATGAAATGGTGCACGCAGCACTAATCTTTGCAGAATAAGAATCATGTGCACACTCAATGAATGGGTTTGAGCCCAGAAGATGCATACAGCATGCGACAACATTGCACGAACAGTTCTTCTACAGAATGCTTCTATTTCCAGTATTAAAATATATAAAATAGCATGCCTTTTGTCATTTATTGTGGTGAGGTAAACATCGCTTCCTTCACAGCAGTGTGCTTCTATGCACCTTCACCAGAACTGCTAACGATACCCTTTCTCCTTCATTCAGTCAATAAGTACCTACCCAGTGGCATATTTATTGCTCTTCTAACGGTCATACATTTTTTCCTTCAGCAATATGTAGAGAAAGGAATGGAGAAGAAAAAACCTGTAGTAATTGATGACAGCAACCTATCTATACCATTTGTGTCAGGAGCCAAAGATCAGTGCAGATAATTTATTTTGAATGTAACAGTTTTAATGGAAAAGTCAAGAAAAATTTATTTACATTTTTCTAAGTAGAACTTAGGATCGATTAGAGCTGCTCAAAACTCACAATTAATAATTTATTAGACAAATTTTTACCTCTCTGGCCATTTACAGGACCAGATCATAATACCCACTCATTTGTTCACTGTTCAAATGTATTGATGATTTTCAGCATGTAATTCCTGGGCTGAGTGAGATCTGTACTGAGTTCTTTAGTTACACAAGCCATTTGGTATTGCCTTCTGTTCCCTGAATGAATGATTTGTGTAACTAACAGCATGGATTTTGACTGTGACAAAATAATATATCATCAAAATAAATCTCGGTCAATACCTGAGTACTGAAACTCACTTTTTTCTTTCTTGTACATGTTTTTTACTGAGGCCTGAGAAATCAAATACTTTTAAAATTGAAAAGTTAATTTGTATTTTATTCACAATAAATCAGAAATGCTGTTTTTCGGAAGTATAATCAATTGAAGAGTATTCCACGCTCCTGACAGAAAACTGCTTCAGGTTCTCATCTTACTTTAAAACCTCACAGCAGTGACATCCTTATGAAAGAGGTTAGTTTAAAAAGTTAGCAGCCATTTTCTTACTGGCAGACACATCCTCCTAGAGCTCTCTGTATGGCACTGTTACACCCAGAAATACTGCACCTCATTCCCAAAAGCTACAACGTAAAATGAATCACATTTTGCTGGCTTATAGGCACAGTGTAAGAAAGGGAAGTCCTTTCACTACCAACTATTCAATCCCTTTTCCTGTTGTGAGGTATACTTTGGCATCTACAAAATAAAAACATCTTAAGGCAAAACGTGCGACTTCTAAAGAAGAAAATAAACATTATTCATTTGAATAAAAATAGATAATGAAAGCACAATTTTTTACATTATTGTAAAAATCCATAAAAAATAGAAACCCATTATTAGTTTGCTGCCTCTTTACAATATAAAAAAAACCCCACTGAAAATACTGTGAAATAGGTGAACTACATGTGTTTGATTAAAGAACAATCCTGTTGATAGATGTAAATTAATAATTATTGTATCTTAGGACTTTATCAGTGACAATTCTGGACGGAAATCACAAAAAGAGCTGCATAAAGTGAAGTATTACAAATATTGCAATTCTGAGTAACAAAATGACCAAAATCACATTAAGACATACAAACTTTGCAAGCCCATGGCCTCAGTTTGCCATGTATCACAAACGAAGTCCACCAACATCGATGACTTGTGAATAACCCTCTGTGAAACAGTGACAGGAATGACATCTTGTGCAATACACATACTTCCCACGAGAATAATCTTCAGGTTGTTATTTTTTGGCCACACTAGCCACAGCCTTCTTTGCTGCATCCTCAAGGTCATTTGCAGACGTGATGGGGAGTCCACTTTCATTCAGAATACGCTGGGCTTCATGAACATTTGTTCCTAAAAACAGAGCATTGACTATAATTAGTAATTAATATTAATGCATAAATGAGCATCTTCTATCAAATCTCTATAAAAGAAGTTAATGTTTCAAACTACACATCATTCCAGTTTAGCAACAGATTAAGTGGTTTAGAGTGAGCTGAGAAGAAGGAATTCTTGATTTCAATGACAGTGTTGACAGATAATTTTGATAATAGCATCTGCATCCACAAGGGTGGCCTTGTGAAGAGGAGAAGGTCAATCCAACATCCACTGGTCGGTAGGGACATCCAGCATACCAGGCCTTTAAGACACTGAGAAGATTTAACACATTTATTAGCAATGATCAGCTACAGCTAATCAGAGGCCAGTGAATCAACAGCAACTGAAGTTAACTGAAAAGCACCCACATTAACTGAAAGCTCCAAGATAGGCTACTGAGAGTCAAAGATTTAGGTAATCCTGAAAATCTAAGTGGTTTTGAGCTGCTCTTGAATATGCTTTTTCACATTTATGCCAAAAATGGGGAACACAGTGATTTCTGAAGCATTCTGCATGACACCATTCCCTCTGCTGCTGCACTAAATTGCTCCATATCAAAGGCCACTGTACAGCTATACAGTCCAAGTGCTCCATTTTGTATGTAAAAAGCTCAAATTCAGTCAACAGACTACACGCACAGTGAAGGAAAAAAATATCCCTAATGAAAAGAGGTATTTCAGGAAAGTCCGTTTTCCCCCCACTATTCACACCTGTATAAAGGACATCATCTTCCCACTTACTCCAGCTCATTCCCCTTGGAAAACAGCCTAACAGGAAATCTGAACTCTCCAGCAAAGCCAGTGGCAGTTTTGATCACCGATATACTCTGCACCATGGAAGAACTTGGAGTTTTCCTACTGAGGATATGAAATCCACACTTTGGGATCACACTGTGGTCACAAGCACAAGGCCCTGGGCTGATCCTCTTTAGGACCATTTCTACTCCTCTTCTCCTCCACATCAAGTTCCTTGTTCATTTGCCATGCCAAAATGCTTAATTACTTTGTAATTCCTAGACATAGCGAAATGAATTTTAATTATATTTGGAGCTATACACTAATAATACTCTTAATTATTAGCCAAGCAAGAAGGATACTCTTTATTGCGCAACTCCCAGGATGCTCATTTTAAAGGGTGTTTCTGTTGGTTTTTTTTTTCTGTCAGACTTTATAAAACATCTGAAACTGTACAGCAGAAGTAGAGAAATTCAAAAGCTTGTTTCATCAGCATGCTCAGGCCAGGATTCCCACTCCCAGCACCGAGAGACTGAAGACATCTCTGTCACAGCAGTTCCCAGCACTTTGTGATAGGAGAGACAGGTGTCTGGAAGAGGAATGTGGGACTTCATCTCCTATGCTTTAAAAGCACTAGCAGAAGAGGTCGTCCTTCCCATCTGTATGCAGAGGACACGCTGTAGGACTTGTGAAGGAAGGTCAAAGACATCTGAAATCTCTGATAGAAGTGGGATTTAGTTGCACAGTAACTGTATGTAATTGCAAGTCCAGAACTGTACAGGACTTTTCCCACAGAAAAAAAGAGTATTAAGGGCAAAAAAGAGTATAATATTTAATTTTCTTTTCCAACGATCCCATAAAACGTAATGTGGAAGCTGTTAATTGGCAGTACAGAACTGCACAGGGCAGTCAGAAAGCATTATGAAGGTTCCCTTCTCTGTCATGTTCCTCACATTTATATACTGATTCCCATCAAGCGTTGAAGGTTTTATCTATTATTTAGATACAAGTGTGATAAACATTTAAAACAGCCAAGATTGTACTGCTCTCTCAAACAGATTCTACAAGACAAAGTGCTGTGAGGAGAAGAAAATGCAAGGAGGGAAACTTTCCTAGAAAAATACAATGATGTCTGCAATAGCCACGTATTTAAAACTGACTTTTGCCCTTCACTAAGTGGCCAATATTAATTTACTAACAGGTCAGAGTGGGAAAAATACATAGGATCTATTCTGCACTGCATTGATTGCTATACTCACCACTTGTCTAACATGCATCACAAAATCAATACAAAACGCAGTCCACTAAGAAGAGAGGGGGAATTTATGCAGGCAAATGAAAAGATGAAAGCTGAAAAAAATCTTACTGCAGTCAAAAGAGTAAGGGTACACTTTGTGTTTTTGTTAAAAAGAGTGTTTTATGGGCAGGCCACATAACTATTTTTGAGCATGCATTTCCTTTGCTGTTATTTTTGTGTATTTAAATAATAGCTTTTTATTTCATTGTGAGAAGTATTTTAGATATATGGAGATTACATTAATTATAATGAGATCCTGCTGAAAGCAGAGGTAAGACTTTTAAAATTAAACATAAAACACTGGAAATGTTTAAGACTATACAACCGGCATCATCTTATTGCAGTAGATGTTAGGATAAGCAAATAGATACTCCCACTATTCTAACATTAACCTCCTGCCACTGGATGGTGTCAGAGAACCGCAAACAGAATCCCATACACAGGCTACCAGAGTAACCCGCCCTTCACCTACACTGAGGCCAATCCATAAAGGGTGAAAATCCACAGCACTGAAGGCTATAGGGCTTTTGTTGTTGTTGCTGGGGGTGGTTTTTGTTAGTTTGTGGTGGTGGCGGTTTTTTAAACTGAACTCTATTAAGGCAATGCCTTTGTAATGAGAAAAAGCATCTTTTTCCATCTGACATATTACTGTCAATGACTCCATAGAAAACCAGGAAAGATGTAATTTTATACCTTCAGGCTTTTTAATCTAAATATCCTCCTCCTGAAACAACCTCTCTGTGTACATGCAATCTCTCACATTTACACTTCTGCTGCCTTGAAATCTCTGCTATTACTGGCAAAGCAAATCTATTCAACTCATTGCCTAAAAAACCTAGTAATAAATATTCTATGCAAGCATGTTTCTATAGATTGTAAGATTACACTAGCACACATTGTTACAAATGAGTCAAGAGGACTGTATAGGTTGAATGAAAGCAAACAAAGAAAACACCCCAGTCATACTCCAAGATTTTGATAATGTTCACTTACTCGCACTGCCATAAAACCACTGGGAACAGACTAAATCGTCACTGCTAAATACTGATGGCTGGAGAGGATGCAAGATTCTGCAATGCCATTTCTAGCTTTCTGGGTAAATAAGATATAATGGGAGAAGACATGTTTATCTACATTTGATACAGCCTAACAAATAGAAGACTTACATAAAAAACTAATCTGCTCTACCCAAAACATTTTGCTATGAGGAAATATTTTACAATGTGCAGCATATCTGAAAATTGACATGAACACATTGCGACTATGTTACATTATCAGCAGCAATGTTTCAGCTTTGATATGCTACACGGATGAGTGTGTTAAAAGTTGAATTTACCCCCATCACAGGTCCCGGTTACATCATTTGTGCTAGCCCACAAGCTGGAAACTCACAGCCTCTCAGGACTCACAGGTACTAGAAAATAAGGGACAAGGTTTGAAGTTCATCACTAGGTAACCTTCAGTCAACATCTGATTTGAGGTTCGACTGGTGATAACCTTTAATGAATGATCGTTAGCTGAGGAACTGATGAAGGTTTGGTGGCTCACCTATCTTGTTGCTGTTGGCTCTGCAGTCAAGAATGGATCAACTTTCACTGCCTACTTGTAAGAGACAATTAAACCTGTTCCATTCTGTTCACCCCATTTGCACCTTTTTTATCCCAAACTCTTCCCAAAGAAAATTTTAATCTTTTCCTCTGCCTCATGTCTACATCGTACCTGGGACAAACATATTTAAATTGGTACTGAATGTTTAAGCAGCCAGGATGTCTGTAGAGGTGAATAAAGTTATAAGTGTAACTTTGCAATAGCAATTCTCTCAATAGGCAATCTGGGATGCTAAAAGTCACAGACATACATACTAGACCATATGTGTGAGCAAGATGTATAAGCTGGAGCAAAGTTTCACTTGTGTTTAAGAGATTTCAGAAACTAATGACTTGTTAAATATATTCAGAAGAACATTGAAGGTCACCAATCACATGGCTGAAAAACATGATAGGAAACTTTAGATTCAGACATTTGAATAAAAGTTGACTTGCTTCTAGCTGTGTTTCAACACATTAAGTAGTTCAAATTCCTCCCAATTCTTCTTGTCCTACAACCAGAGAAGCAGAAAATTCATTTATTGAGAGAATGTAAAACTTCCAGCATAGGAAGAGGATATCTAATTCACAATTCTTTTTCATTCTTTCCTCTTTTCATCTAACTTGGAACTGCATAAATGAGAAACAAGGTTTGGCTGCAATTCAGCACCCCTAGTTAGTTTTCACAAAACTTAATTGAGTACATTACATTTTAAAGGGCAAAAAATCCTGCATAAAAGCAGCAGAAGTTACTTTTCTACATCTGTAAAACATAAAACCTGGAATATGCGATTTCTCCATTTGTCCATGAGCCTTTTAAACAATAATCCTGTGCCTCAGCTGGTGAGTTCTTTACTGATAAGGCACGTAAATACATGTAATTATAAAGTTACCATTTTCAAAGAGGAGAGTAATCCTTTCTTTATCCACTGGTAAAACAGCTTGTAATTATTATACAACTGAGAACAGAGATTTGTCCACAGAATCCTGCTAAATCAAGACAGATTTGACTGATTAAAACTCTAGTCATCAAGACATTTGTAATACAGTTCATGTGGGCAGAGTCTTCAAAGTGCAGGTCACAAATCTGTTAGATTTATGGGAATAATCATGAACCTTCTGTTGGAAAAATGCTCAAAATGGAAATCCAAAAAAGTGCCTGTCCCTTTCTCTCCTTTTGAAGTACAAAATGTTATCAGTGATGTTTTAAAAAGGGCTTGGGTAGCCTTATTACTCCCACAGTATTCATTATTAGTTCAAGATCCTTCTATGTTTCAATAACCTGGTGTGAGTTGAAAGAACAACAATGAAGATGACTGAGGATCCACAAGGATTGATTTCTAAGGAATCTGACTATGTGATTAAGGAGGCAGAGAAACCAGGAGTTACATTCCCACTGTTTCTAAGTACAACATCTGACAGCTGTAAACACTGTCACTTTTGGTTTAGGATGAACTGACGGGTAACGCTAGAAATGAGAGAAGGAATAAAAATCTTTTCAGATACATATTATACAAAAGTGTGAGTTTGCTGTATTAATTCAGGACAGTTTCCTGCAGAAAACGTGGCATCGCCACCTCTGGAGTAAGCAACTAGTCTAGGAGAAGCATTATTACAAACCTAGGACAGAGTGAGCAGTCATGGTCAACAAAAGACGTTTGCATTACATCTTGTGTTTGACATTCTGAAGACTCAGCTTCGAACTCTGTGGAAGAACCAGCACACGGCTCATAAAGGTCCAGGCACAAGAGGCACAGGCACTGTGCAGTCACCTCTGCAAGCCCCAGGCAGAAGAGCTCCTGCTCCACATCATCTCACCTGCTCTTCCAGACAAACTCCACGGTGCAGCAGCACTGGAACCTCCTCACTCAGCCTCTACAATCTCCCATAAGCCACGTTAAAAGATAAATAAACATTCACCCTTACTTGTGTACAACCACAGAAATATCAGAAGAACGGCAGAAAGGTCAAGAAAGCCCAATGGCAGACCTAGCAGACTGCAGTTCAAAATGAGCAAGGTGATTTTCGTGTTTCTCTTATACCAGTTTTAACTACTGCAATAGAAACAAACTTGTAACTACCTCGTTCATTAGGAAAACTGATGGCTTTTCCAGTATCTTCACTTAAAAAATAACAGCTACAATAGAAGTCTTGCAGGTCTGACAGATAAACTTTTTCCCAGCTATGGCAGACAGGAAAAGTTTGTTGCTATGACAAAAAGCTATACAAAATTGCCTAGAGCTGACAAACAATGAGATTTCATATTATGAAACTTTCCTGCTTCTAACCAACATCCATCAGTATCCCTGATCCATATTAAGCTGGCTTCTTACTCTGTTAAGGTGTTTAGTGGTGCTGCATCACCCAAAGAAATTTTTCACAATTTGTTTCTAAAATCCATTTTAAAGTAACTGAAATTTCCTGCACTTACAACAGCAGAAGTCTGACCCCGTTAAACCAAGCATGCCCTCTGGAAAGCGTCTGAACCCAGCAGGGAAATGCATGGCACAACTTTTACAGGACAAAATTGTATGACACACGCTGTGGTCTCCCCTGACATGAACTATGTATCATGTGTAATGCATCAGGAGAAGGAGGGATGGGAAAACCCTGCTTTGTGGTGAAAGGAAACAAGCGCTGACCAAAGGGCTTCATGGGTAACCTGCATCTTCATGAGTCCTGGTGACTTTTGAAAAGGAACAAGTCTGGTGCATTCAGAACTCTTTATCCTCTCCCCTCTACTAGAGTGTTAAAAACCACCTTTGTTTTGTACCTCAGGTACCTAAACGGATGCATTTCCTCCTTTCATCATCAGTGCTGAGTGATAGGACACTTTATGCTCTTTACACATACCCAAACACGAAAATTGATGGTTTTGAGGAACAGGCCTTAAAAAAGCCCAAAACCAAACAGAAACCCCTCTATTTCCAAACCTGCTTAGCAAAAAAGAAATGTCTAAAGCTTGCTGGAGTTGTGTGCTGATTTCAATCAAAGCAGTTTTTCATTCAGTGGCAGCAGAAGAATCCCCTTCCTCCCTCAGGGTACTTCTCAGAAATTAGAGACAGAACTCCATACCCACTGCCGTTATATTAAAGCCAATAACTGCCAAAGAGCGCTCTTCCTTACCTCTCTCTTACTTTTTTGTTTCCAATTTCATAATGCTGGATGTACCAAAAAAGTATTCCTTGTCCTTACCAAATCTGGTTTTTAATGGATTTTAGCTGGATAGTTGGACAGAAGAACATGTTACAGTAATCTCTCTCTCAAAAACACTGTTTCTAACATCTTCCTTTTAATTACAGTATTGAAAGAAGTTTAAGAAAGCTGTGATGTTGCTGCAGGTTCAGCAATAACGGAATTGCACTCCAAAAAAATCATTTGAAAAGAAATGGCTTCCAGTAGACAGAAACTTGCAGCAAAATAATTTCCATTTGCATTGCAAATCTTACAAGTAAAACTGTAAAGCTTTCACTGCAAAATTTCATTGCTTCAAGTACCACCAGGGAGCAGGAATACAGAAAAATATGACCTGAGTTTACTGACTTCAGGTCATGCTATGGATGAAGAATGGGATGTATTCCTATTGTGTGAGACTAATCTGTTTGGGGCTTAGTGATGGAAGAATGCCAAAGTGGATTACTGTGCACCTGAGGGCCAAACCATCAGCACTCACCTTCCAGTCTGACCACCAGAGGTACTTTCAGCTCAAGCTCTCGGCAGGCTTTGGTAATGCCATTGGCTATAATGGCACAGTTCACGATCCCACCAAATATGTTCACAAGTATCGCTTCAACCTGTAAAAGACACAAGAGCAGGGATTAGGTGTGAGTTTTGTCTGTCTTGTTTTGGCTTTTCTTTTTAAATAAACACAGCTAACAGACCCAAACCAGGGTACCAATTCCCCTCTGTCAGACACATTCTCATTTATGGAAGATACAAGCTTTACCTCTGTACTCAAGAGGACTTGGTCTCAAGTCTATTGTTTCCATAGTGTGCAGCAGTGATTAATTGCCTTGCTCTAAACTGGCATGGTAATTAATGTCGTAGACACATTATTACATACAAAAGAGGAATTTCTATCAATAAGTTAAATAAAAAGAGATTAAACAGTCTATGTTTTGTATTTTTTTCCATGTCTTGAATAATCACCAGGTTGGAGCTCAGAAAACAGTGTATGAATGTGCGGATACACATGGAATGAAATATTCATGTGTGAATAATGAACAAAACAATCTGGATACGCACTATATCACAAACAGTACAGAGGAAAAGGTAATATACTTGCCCTGACTTGAAAAAGAGGACTAAAAATCCCTTCTAATTAACAAGAAAAGGCATGTAATGAAGAACAGTCATTACAAGAGATTAACTGATAACCTCAAAAAACTGCTATTCATTACTTTCTGGAAACTGAAATTCCTGCACCCAACTCACTATTAAATTACTCTTTACAATGTACAAGACATTAATACCTACAAAATATTGACATGGTTTCTTTCCACTTGGTAAGCTAGTATAAAATTGAACCCAAGTTCATAGACCAGGCTTCCCACCACAGCTTATTAAGTCAAGGGGACACCCTACAGACGAGGCTATGCTGTATCTCACCCATGGTGGGGCTAATCCACAACATTTGGGGTACTCTACAATAAGCTTCACTGGGTATCACAAACAAGCTTTGTCAGAATGCTGTTGACACAAAAGATAAAGAAGGGATTAGGTTTGAAGGAACGAAATATCACTGGCTTTTACTTGTGCACGATGTCAACCACAATTATGCTTAACTCATTGCACAAGATGAACAGATTCACTTTGCCCACCCTCCAAGTAGCCAGGCTCATACCAGCACCATGAAAATACCCCGCAGTCATGCACGTTTATAGCTCTGCACAATCAGGTTTAATATTTCTCCACAGACAAAATGTGACAATTAACTCCTGTGATGTGCAGTCACACACGCAGATTGAAAGCTCACCACTGTTAGTAATACTGCCATCCACAATGCAGCAATAAAAAAGTGGGAAAAGAAATCTCAACAAATACTTTAGTTCCCGTAAGAAATCATTTCACTCTTAATCAGTGCCCCAGACTGCAAAAACATCACTTACTAGATAGATCTATGGCAGTGTTGTGTACTACAGAACTCCAATGCTAGAACAGTCATAAAATGAATATGGCAATGGGACCACCTCACTGGTATCCTTCTCATCACTTGCTGCTCCCTCCAGCTCCAAGATGTTTCATGATGCCACCCAAAGTGTTCAGAACAGTTCCGATCTGATCATATGGGCCATAGCCCCATTTTCTCCACCCAAGCTTACTAGACACTAATTCTTTTATCTAGTTTTCCATTGATGATATATGCTAGAAAGCTGCCTCTCTGCTATGTGTCTCCTTACCATTTGCACTGGAGCTATCCAATTAAGGTATCATAAGGAAATTAACAAGGCAGTCAAATCAGAACATACAATTTAATTGATTTTATAACTCTTATAGTTTAGACATGGCCCAACACTTTAATGTCATGTTAAATGCATGCATTTACCGGTTTAGGTGTTTCTGGGTATTAAGTTGGTGATGCCATTGACATTATTTATTGCACCTTTGTGTTAGAAAATCCTTAGCTCTGTAGAAGCTACCAATAGTGAAACCTTCTCCTTCTCTGCCTTGCTCCTACTGCTTGTGCACATGCAAACATTGTTGGTGGCAGGAGATGAAAACACATAAAGAAAACATCTAGCCCTTCAAACTCGTACCACATTAACCCTTATGGTAGAGAGAGATCTATGCAAAACACTTTGATGTTAAAATATACTAGTGGTGGATTCTAACAGTTGGACAAGCCACAGACACCATTCTGCCCTTTCTAATACATACTCCTAATTCAGTGACATTGCACCAGGCATGTGCACCAGATCAACTTAACCGAGTGTGTTTACATTATTAGAGATAAGGAGGAGGATTTTATGCCCAGTACAGATATTTTAATTCCTAATGCAGACACTCTCATTTAAGGATCTGCTTTTCAGCTTCCAAGCTGAATTCTAATCAGGTCTTCTAATCCATTGGCAGCAAAAAGGGGGAAAATAAAGTTGAAGGAAATTAGATGCAGCTTGGATAATTGATGTTTGTATGCTTGGCTTTAATAAAAATACACTGTTAAATTAGAGAGGAGTCTAAAAGGATTTGATCAATAAGAAACTGAATCAGGAAGAGAATTCAATCTTGGGTTTTACTGTAATCTTCCAAATAAGCCAAAAGATCAGTTCAAATGATGCTGACTGTAACTCCACTGAAATCTGTGAACATTGTTTATGTATGCTTCTGTAGCCTGACTAGAACTTGCGTTTCCAGCTGAAAGAACTTTAACATTCAGACCCCATAGTTAGATGAAAAGGTTTTCAGTATTTCATGTGCACAGAAGATGCACAGTCCCTGTATTATTTAAGTCTGTAAGAGAAATAAACCTTCCATTGTATACCAGAACCATGCTCAGTATCTAACGTATACAGGCTATTAGACATATGAAGGAGAGGGCAAACTGTCTACACACAAGACAGGTTATTTGATAGCATTATTATTCTGATAACCATTTTTACCCAATAGCATGCCTTACAAAACACTATTAAAGAAACTGAAGATAGCACTATATCCACAGGTTAGGTTCCTTCCACCCACAAAAACAGCTGACAGATGTGAAATCACCATCAAATGTACTTGCAACTGATTACGCGCTCCTCTGGAGGAGTAAGGAAGCCACAGTAGAGTGAAGGCATCACCATCAATGGTGGTAACAACCTGCAGTCTGCCAGGACTAAGCACCAATGCTGGGAAACAAAAGCAATAGTAACTAAGGCAAATGCTGCATTATCACTGTCTTCATGCTACGTATGGGACTGAATCTTTGTAAATACTGCAAGACCCATCAATCCTACAGCTCCTAAATACTATATGAACATATATGCAGCGTCTTCTCTCTTTATATACGAAATTAGATATATTTACTCATGCTCTGTCTATATGAAAACTAACAGCTTTAATTAACAGTGTTGTCTTCTTCAAGGGATTCTTGACAAAGCCTTCAATTCTGCCTTGAATGTCTGGCACAAAACCCCCACCTCAGATAAATGTAATTGCACACTACCTGAAGCAGTGTTAGGACATTACTGATAGAACTGCACTGAATCACTGACATAATCCAAAAGGCTGCCATATTCCATGCAACTAAGGGCATTTTACATACAGGAGAAGCAGCTTTAGCATACAGCATACCTGCCCTCGCTCCAGAAAACAGACACAGTGTGTGCATTTACTGTGTTTTCTTCTTTTTTTCTCTCTAATATTTTTAGCCTTAATAAAATGTACATTGGCATTTGATTATCGTACACATAAGGATTAATATGAGCAGCACCTATAAAGCATTCTACCTCCCCTACAGCCCATTTATAAATCTATATACAGGACGTCTCGCTGTCTGCAGCAACTGCATTCCAGTCTGCTGACCTTCAGAGCCCACACTAACACCACAAACTCTGTACATAAAAAGAGGGAGAATGAAAACTCGACACTTGAAAATTGTTGTTTTTCTTTCATTTGTCACTGAACAATTAAAACAGGCTTAGGATGATAACGCACCATAGCGCTGAACAATGGCAGATACTTCATAAAGGTAAAGAGCTCTGAATCTCACAAGTCCAAACACAAACACAGATGAACTGAGGGTGAGGTTTCATAATCATTTGAAGATGGCCAAGTAGAGGTAACCACCAAAACTGCTCTCCCACTTTCTCCCTCCCTCCCCTGCACACAACCATGACTGAATGAATCTCTCCCATGCTCGAATAAGCCCCTTATCCATGCAGATGCCAGAGCAGCTCCTGGATCCAACTGACCCTACAGACACACAAACACTGGCCCTGAAGCGAGGAAGAACCCCTAATGTGCTGTTAGGACCCATAATAAGAAATGTGTCAGCCAATTGTGAAGCCATTTTTTTGGCTATTACCTTTCAGGATCAGAATGAGTATTAGGTATGTACAAAAATGTGAGGCTAACAGTACAACTAGAAAACTGTCCAATAAAAACCCAATCTGAAACCACCACAACCATGATTGTACAGCACAAATCTCTCCTGAATACTACTGAAAATGTATGGAACGTACATGCTCTAAAATACTTGTTTTAGCAAAGTATTTCAGGACGGCTGGCATAACGACAGCTCAAAACCATAATTATTCCAACATTCAGACCCCTTTCATCAAAAGTTTCTGCTGGTGTATTTTTAATGGGAAACTCTTTTGAAAAAACCCCACGTTATCTGATGACAGCAGCAAGGACTTGCAACAGTTTTCCAACTATGAGCAATGCTGGATGCACGCCTTGTGATCTGGATGCATCTTCTCCCTTGCATGCACACACAGACACATGAACATTCTCACAGTTAACTATAAATTACTACAAAACCCACCAGTATTATCCCTGTCCTTGCTGTAAAAAGATTTTTCTGAAGCTCAATCCATCTATTTTAGTTAAAAACAAGCTATTTGGAAACTGTCAGTAAAACTACATCTGCAGCAAATTAAAAGCTACTCTAGCAAAGAACTTGCTTACAGATTGCTTTGACCGAAATTAGAATATAAAACCTTTACAGCTTAAGCTAACTGAAGTAATTTACTAACCAAACCTAGCTCTTTCATCAGCTAAAAGCATACCCAGTCAGTACAAAGCAGACAAATACATCAAGTTTTCTTCTTCAGGATGCCACAGGTCACATCTACATGGAAGACAATGGTTT